AATATTTGAGGGGTGGTTTCACCCTCTTGGAACTGGAATTTCGAAAAATCCCTTCTTATCGAACCTCTACACCCTAGAATCAACCTGTATGCCAAAATTGAGCTTCTTACGTTGAGTGGTTTGAGCAGCATCGTGATTAATCAGTATGTCAGTCACTTAAGGATTTTATATATTAGTATAGATACGAATATTCTTGTTGATTATTGGTTTGAAATAAATATGACAGTGTCCTCCAATGAAAATGCGAGTTACTAACTGTAAATTCTAATTCTGAGCTGACAAATGATCTAGATGATTTACCTAGACCGTTATTCAGAAGCTACAAATCTACCGATGAAAATATGCATGAAATCAAATACAGGATCAAGTTTATTATAGTGATCTTAGCCGCGTTTGACACAGATCATTACCCAGTGTTGCCATAAGCTTATTTTTCATGGGGGTAGATTATAACGCGATAACGGGGTTAAATTGTTTTACAAAGGGGTAGATTTTCCCCGAATGGGGTAGCTGTGGCAACACTGCCGCTATCAATTTTCCTCTCGCTAGCTCGAGCGTCACGGCCGTGTGTCACACATTAACACTAACTCCAGGAGAGATTATAAATAATTCATTTGCACATTATAAATAATTTATAGTTTTGGCGTTATTATGATCGTGGTTCTTCAGTAACAGGTTCCTCGAACGCGACACGACGTTACAAAAAAATACCGCTCCAAAATCGCGTAACTCAAATGCCGCCACATCACTATTTTGGACTGATATTGCCTTTAATGCTAAAATTTTACACATTTTTTATTACATTTTTTTTATTTAATTTTAATAAAGGCGTTTATTAAATTCACTATATACCCTGCTAGCTAAATATTTACTAGTGTTTTTTTGTTACAGAATCGACACTGGGTTATACTTCCGTCAACTCAGCGATGGAAAACACTTTATACAATTGATTTACACCGATCGGAAGCAATTGAAAGACTGCGAATTCGGCCATCGCCGAGACCAAGCTTTACCGTTCCTAGAAAGTTTTAAAAGTGATTTAAAAATGTTGACGGCCACGAGTAACGTGACGATTGAATCGTTGGACAACAAAACTCTACCGACCGAATACAGGTGGATGAATTATACGTTACTTCGCCAGGAATGTCACAAGAAGCATACCGAATTAAAAAAGATGTTAAAGGGACAGGAAGATACCTTCTCAAATGTGACGTATAGGTTAGTATACAATGCAAAAAAATGTATTAACAGTTATATATAAAAAAGATATAAAATATATTTTATTGGTAAATCTATTATTTTTTATTATTAGCGTTTTTTATAAAGTTTTAGAACAAACTGAACTAAAATTAGTCGAAAATATAGATTTCTTATTATTTTCAGATCTAAGCGGGACATTACCGATATTTTTAGAGTTCCTGGTACCAAATGGTGCGGCAAAGGATATTCAGCCGATAAATATACACGTTTGGGAGGATTTTCCAGAACAGATAGGTAAAAGTTTCTAAAATTTATTTATTTTTTTTGTTTAAAATATTTTCCGAATAATATAATACCTGAATCGATTAACGAATTAGTTTCGGTGAATGAAATGGTAAAATAGCTTGGATGAAAGAAAATTATGTTTATACAGTAAATATACATAATATTCGTTCGTATTTAAATTAAAGTTAAATTAAAAGTTAAGATTAGAAACATTAGTTTCTGAATGTTTGCCATAAATTATTGTTTTTCCATAGAGTTTAGCGTAATAACATGAAAGACGTATTATTGGATATTTTATCTTTAATCATCATCATCATCATCATCATTCTCAGCTTATTCAACCATTTCTTCATTCCATAACGGGAATATTCTCAGCAGAGCTTTTTGCAATATTTAAGGCCATTCAACATGCTATAAGAGATGGGTCGTGGCTACCGATTCATTGAGTTCCATTTCAAGTATCTCCTCTTTCTACTCCAACCATCCACTAGTTATAGAATGATAATAAGCTTTATGAAATCAAAAGGGACTATTTTGAAAATAATGTAGTTAACTTACCTAGAAGAGATTTCGTTGTAGCGTTTTTTTATAAACATTACCACTACGAACGGCAGCTTTTCGTTGGTAGAGCAGTCGTGGATAAGGTATTTGGAAAGAACTGGAAGGTACTGGAAAGAACTAATTAACAATAATAACTCGAAATTATAAATATTGGGCGCCAGGCATGAACAGAGAAAGAAAACACAGTTGTTTATTACTTAAAACTAGTGACTATATTCATTCATGATGTATCCTGATGGTAAATAGCATTGTACAATTTTAATAATTATTATAGTGGTTATATGTCGAGTAAAGCTATGTATGTAAATAATATTAAATATGTTCTATGAAAAGACTATGAAAAAATACAATGCGTGTAACGTTATAGAAAATATAAGAAAGGTAGCATTACTTTATTTAAATTGTTAAATTTTATGCGGTGTTAAAAGGAAGTCATGATAACACAAAACGACCCAACAAACACTGGATAACACAAAGAACTCTCGACACAATCGAGGAACGGAAAGAAATAAAAAGGAAAGGGTTAACAACACAAAATTTTAAAGAAACCTACAGAAGATTGTGCAAGAAGATCCAGGAACAATGCAGACAAGATAAAAATAATTACGTAAAGAAAATCTGCAGTGAAATTGAAGAACACCAAAATGCAAACCAAACACGAGATTTATACAAGAAAGTAAGGGAACTCACTTGGAAATTCAAACCTAGAACAACTGCTATCGAGGACGAAAATGGAGAAGTACTGTGGAACAACGAGGACATATTGCAACGATGGAAACAATATTGCCAAGAACTATACAAGGAAGAAGTAGACGTAGTAAACGAAGTTCAAGTACCTCAAATAATAAACGAACTGGAACCAAATATATTGAAGAGCGAAGTGGAAGAGGCCATAACTCACCTCAAATTAAACAAAACCCCAGGAACAGACGGGGAGGAAGGTGTGAAAATAGTACATAACATCTGCAATAAAGTATGGCAGTCTCGACAATGGCCTAAAGATTGGACTAATTCTGCTTTCATCCCAATTCACAAAAAAGGATCCACACAAAAATGCCAGAATTATCGAACAATATCCCTAACGTCACATGCAAACAAGATCTTACTTAGGATAATTGACCGAAGACTTCAGAGGTAATTGACGCCTGAAATACCTCCTGAACAAGCCGGATTCGTGAAAGGAAGAGGCACAAGAGATCAAATATTTAACATACGTCAACTCATAGAGAAATCCCGAGAATTTAATTCGCCTATGTTCTTGTGTTTTATAGAATACAAGAAAGCTTTCGATTGTGTGAGGTGGAAAAGCCTACGGAGGGTTCTGAGCGAAATGGGAGTTCCGAATCATCTAGTGGCTCTTATTAACAATTTATATGACAATAATACGGCAATTGTCAACCTAGATAACAAAACGTCGGAACCTTTCAAACCTAGAAAAGGGGTACGCCAGGGCTGTTTACTGTCACCCAGATTGTTTAATGCCTATGAATACATCATGAGACGTGCTTTGGAAGGCGAGGAAGGAGGAATCCTAGTCAACGGTAAAATACTAAACAACCTCAGGTACGCGGACGATACCACCCTGATAGCGAAAAGTGAGGAAGAAATGGCCCGGTTGCTGGAAAGAGTTACCATCGAAAGCAATAATCTTGGTTTAGAAATAAACATTGATAAAACCAAACTCATGCTGGCAGCATGGAGCTTACGCTGTATCCATACTGTGGCAATATGGGGACACTACCTGTACCTTGGAACACTACTAGGACCTTGGATAATGTCCGTACCCTGGACCATAACCTTGGAATTACTTCCTAGGGCTCTACCCTACCTCGAATTACTTCCGAGGGCTCAATAATAAACAAAGAAACTGTCCTTTCTTCCATGTAACATTCTGGAGGACAAAAGAAAAGGGACGCCAACGTGCCAGCAAAATACAAATACAAGTTAAGTTGGGACATCCAAAACTCTACCCTAAAAATATTCAATAATAATATCGAATCTATAAAAGATAATAACTCATCTTTACCTGTAGCTTCGAAATGGCAGCTGATTCAGATTTTGCAGCAAGATTTAAGTTATTACCATTTCTAAAAGCCGGGTGAACAAAAGTGAGGTTCAGCGCGGAGAGCGACCTAACCTTGGAGCGATGTTGACAGCGCCTCCACAGAACAGTGAAACGATAACACGGTTGGCGACTAGGGAACGTAAAAATTACGCCAAGCGTGCCAAATAAATTATCAGGCCTGAACGATACGGAATCCGATTTGTGAAACATGTAATGTTCCAATATCCGTCAAACACATTATCTTTGAATGCCCAAAGTACGCGTTAAAACGAAGACAACACGGTATCGTGGATAACCCAGAGGTAGCCCTTTCCTTCCAAAATAACAAGGCTATGTTGGATTATATAAAGGACATCGACATATATAAACATATATAAATATTTACGGAGAACGTTTAGTTTAGACATAAATATATAAATAATGGGATAAAGTGACGCTAAAAGACTCTACAGTCGATGCGTCTTTAACACATATCTCTCTCTCTCAACCATTTCTAATTGTGGTGTAGCCCAAGGTGTAGCCACCCTTACATATTTAAATACTCTCTTTGTACTTGGGCCCATTGTTGTCTATTATTGGCTATGCGGGCCCAAGTTATCCCTGCTAAGTTCCTAATATCATGGTCCCATCTCAGGTTTGGTCTTCCTCTAGGTCCCTTAGTTCTTCGTACCATGCTGTAATTTTTATGGTCCATCTGTTGTTCATTCTTCTTGCCAGGTGTCTTGTCCATTGCCATTTGAGAGATTTGACTCGGTGTATGACATCGATGATCTGGGTCTTTTGTCGTATCCACTCTATTCTTTTACGGTCTCTCTTGGTTATTCCCATCAGCATATTTCGTTCCATTGAGCGTTGTGCTACCTGCAGTTTCCTTATGATGTCCGTTTAAAGGTTGATTCTCATCCATTCCATATGCGTTCCGTATTTTTATTGTATTGACGCTATACGTAAGCTTCCGTTCCGTATCAGTTTCATACTTTTTATTGTACAATTTATATCATTACGAAAATTTTATTTTAAAAATTTGTGTCTTTTTTAAAAGGTAATAGATTTAATGGGTGGATTTAATGGAGGTGAAAAGATGAATAAATATCAGCAAAATTTGTGAGATTTGTACCAGATGTAAGAACTTGACAACGCTGTTTCCGACACGCTTCAGTTCGTCCGCCAAAAAAATGTATGGATGGAAAGGATATGGAACGGAAGGGAAACGAAACGTATAGTGAGCATTGTCCTCCATATTCATTTACGCACTATATAATATTTTATGTAAACGGAAGGGAAATAGAAGGGAGCTGATATGGAAGGTATAGTGAGAATTAACCTTTAAGGGTCCAGGTTTCGCATCCATACGTCATGACTGGTAGTACACATCGGTCGAAGGAAATTTTCTTCTTTAGATAAAGTGGCATTCTAGATTTGAATATGTATAATATACAGGGCTGTTCACTACATACGACACGGAGTATGGTAGCTAAACGATTAGATTTTTACAAATTGTAAGTTTTGGATTCGTTGAAGGACTATTAGTGATAATATTTAAAAATATTTTTACAAGATACAGAGTGTACCAAATAAGTAAAAAATATTATAGTTTTATTTTTTTAAATGGAACACCCTGTATATTATTCTATTTTTAGATTCTACAATTAAAATAAAGGTAAATTTAATTAAGGTTTATCACACTTAAACCTTACCGTTTTTGAAATATTTTCAATTTTATGAAATTGCACTAAAAATTTTAAAGCTTCATTTCTCCAAGGGTATCAAAGTTTTTAATACTAAATATTTACTGAAGATTATTTATTGATCAGATATTGTGTTGCAATAATAAAAATGTTACTACCTTATACAGAGTGTCCAAAAATTTATATTAAATAATTACTAGCTTTAAACGGCAATAACTTGTTTAATTTAAATAGTATAACACCCTGTATATTTTACATGAATCATATGCACAATTTAATTGTTACAGGGTGTTCTATTTAAAAAAATACAACTATAATATTTTTTACTTATTTGGGACACTCTGTATCTTGTAAAAATATTTTTAAATTGTAGCCCTAATAGTCCTTTACCGAACCCAAAACTTACGATTTCTAAAAATCTAATCGTTTAGCTACAATACTCCGTGTCGTATGTGGTGAACAACCCTATATATCCTTAATAATTTAAGGTATTATAATATAAAGTGTGTCCAACGAGAGGATCTCTGACAGTGAGTTTTGTGACTTCTCATTTTACTAAACAGATAAATTAAATTTCCTGTAATTTTTTTGATGCCTTCTGCCGAAATCTTCCCTGGCTCGTTGGACAGACTTTACGTTTTAATTGCATTGAGTTTTATATTTTTGCAACTCTAAAATCCTAAAAAAAACTTTAACTAATGCCTGAAATTCTTAAACGATTTTCAGGTGCTGTCGAAAGCATGATCTGTTCTGCCATTTCTGGATCGGAGGATTTCAAACGAAATATGGATTATTCAATTGGAGATTGAATACTTTAATGCACTGTAACTGTGATGAAAGGTAAGTTCCATATTTTTTTTAATCCTATCTGAAATTGCTTACCTCCTGCAATTGAGAAAAAATCCAGCCATATTACTCCAACTGTAATAAAACATACTATAACATGTAACCTTTAAATCAAACAAACAAGTTTTTTCAACCGTACATCGGATACCTGGAGGTATCAGAATATGTTTTTTAATGATATATGTATAGGATCCTATAGTCTAGGAGCTAGCAACGTTTTCGAGAAAGTATTTTAAGAAAGCTGGCTCTTTGATATATCTTTTACTATGCTCTGTGGAACAGCATACTACTGCGCATCGGAAAAAGATCCTGTATTTTTTTATTTAGTCCGTTAAATTCTAGTACCTATTCAATAAAAATCGAACAAGTCTCCATAGCGCAGCGCGCAGAGGTTCCGATGCGAGAAGTCGGAATTGGAGACCGGCTTGGGGTATAAAACTTTTTTATTTTATTTTTGTTTATATTCTGCTAGTAAATTATTAAATATTTGTGTTTTTGAATCACCAGAATTATTTAATACTTTTTTTACTAAACACAAAACTGAGTTGGTTGGGTTGGGTACAGTTAGATACGTTAGATACCATATCTTCATAGGTGTTGCATTTTCAGTGTCACTTGGTATATTAATAAATAGATAAAATATAGTAGTATATTTGCTGCATCCTTTTAAAAAAATATTCAAAATACAAATTTATTATAAATTATAAATTAAAATTTATGATTATAAAAAATATATTTGTTCTTTCCACCATTAAATTTCTATCAAAAGCACTTAGTATTTTATTTTATGTCTTGGACTTGTATTATTGAAAAAGCCTAAATAAAACACTTTAAATAAAAAAAATGGTCATTATTAAATATACGAGTACATCTAAAAGCGAAGTAATATAAAGGGTATACCGGGTGCGTCTCAAAAGCGACTAACCTCTATAACTTTTTTATTTCTTCAGATAAAATAAAAAATCGGTAAAAAAACTTTTAAGTTAAACGGTTTTATCTTATGTGCACTGAAAACTAGAAAATAATAATAACAATTAGGTATTTTCAACTTCTAGTTCAGAAATATTTTAGTACTAGGCAGAATAGCTTTTAGGCATATTAGACTAAAATAAAAACGTGGGGCCCCTCTGAAATCCTACCTATGGCAAAGCATATCTTTATACTTTGGTAGATCATGAGCTCGGCGTTCGCTGGTGAAGCCGCCACGGCTGGTTATTGATTGTCAAAATCTCCAGTTACGATTATAGTAAGTCGATGCAATCCACACTTAGTATAGAAGAAAGTATTACAGCAATAGTTAATGGGCCCCACGTTTTTATTTTAGTCTAATATGCCTAAAAGCTATTCTGCCTAGTACTAAAATATTTCTGAACTAGAAGTTCAAAATACCTAATTGTTATTATTATTTTCTAGTTTTCGGTGCACATAAGATAAAACCGTTAAACAAAAGTTTTTACCGATTTTTTATTTTCTAGTTTTTAGTATTTAACGGAAATGCCTACCGAATATTCCTCATTCTATTTAATTAATTTAGTGCATCATTATTACATGGTTTTTACCTGATAATTTATTACAATCTAATTCCTCAATACATAGCCCTTCCAGAGACTTGACTCGACTTAGAGCCACGTATGCTTGCCCTTCCTCAAACAATTTTGAGCCCAAATACACTACTGCATGGTCGACTGTGCTGCCCCCTGCATTTTATGGACGGTGGATGCCCATGACAAAATTAAGGGTAACATCCTTCTTTCAGCCGTACCATAATTGAATTTTGCTGGAAACTGTATGGCTTTCGGGTGTATAACGTGTATGCCGTCTCTGCCAAAGTCAATCCAAACTGATGGTACATCTGTTTCGTACATTTAGGTTCGACGGAACTGAGGCCAAACAATTTCTGTAATGTGGCCTATAGCACCATTTACCAATCCTTTTGTAACGTCAATGTTAGACCGCAACATTACTTTTGCTCCTACAAATATTTCAAGTACTGATGGTAAGCCTCCAGTCTTATTTATATCTGCTGGTATTATATTTGCTAAATTTAAATTATCTCTATTTCGTGTGGCGTCAATTAGTTGGTCCTGTGCTTTAATGGTATAAATTCGAGATCCCTTATTCCGGAATAGATTTAAAACAGCAGCGTTGTGATTGTTTACTTGCTGATTAGTGGGGTATACCCTTAACGCTTTGTCTGTTACAAACTCATCACTTGGGGTTTGAAGTTCCCACGAGTAATGGACATTTTAGCGGTCGACCCCCAGAGGTCCTGTAGAGGGCAAGGCTATAATATACAACAAGAGGCGCCCAATCTTGAGGGAAAACGCTTGCGACATTACATTTTAGCCACCCTAATGCCATACAGTCCTCAGCACGTTTTAACCTATTACCTTAACTTGGGTGGTAAAGCTACCGCTAACGTAGGTACATCTAATCACCTATTTTTTTTTCTGTCCTTCTAACGTCACACAATCTTGGACACAACTGTTCTGGACACGACTACTCATGCCCTCACCTAATACGCCATTTTGTAACGACGTCCACCTTGGATTTTAAATTTTGTCATAATCACAGTATTCTACTAGTGTAGCCCTTTCATTTGATACCCATATTGAGGGGGTTGTGGAAAAATATGAAATCCGCCATTTTGTACCAGCGGCCATCTTAGATTTACAATGTTATTGATATTACTATATTGTATTGTCATCGGAACTAAAGGTGTGTACCAAATTTCACATCAATCTGACAACAGGAAGGTACTTAAATTTCAATTTCTAATTTTGACCCAAATAAACAAACAAATAAATAAATACCGTACGAGTCGAGCTCAATAAAACCGATTAAAAACGAGATTTGGTATGTTAGTATGTGACATAAGTTTACGTACGCATGCGCATTTCTTATATTTTTACACGTATTTGCGTATACAATTTTTTACGTCTACGTATACATGTCAGCAGCGTTGTTGTTCTCTATATTTTAAGGTTGATTGACGTAGTATTCAATTGTTTTTGGTCACTTCCTGTTTCACCGGAAATGACTACAACTTTTGATTTTTAAATAGCACTCTCGGTTTTTTTTACTTTATTCGATAGAAAATGACACTCTTAATAGAATGACATACCATATGTCAATTTTTAACATTTTCGCTTAAAAAATCGTATTTTAAATTTCAATCTACAGTGCCATGGCTGTGTTAGAAACACTAATTTTTAATCAGGGAACCTTAAAAAATAGATTTGTTCATCGAATGTTTTTCATGTCTTATCCTGGCCGGTTATAAGATACCCAAATCGTATTTTTAGCATATTTGGAAAAAGCATTTTTTTGCGAATAATTTGGCACCAAACACTTATACCGTATGATCGAATAAAAACGGCGTCAGCGATGGCTATGAAATGAATATCGCTGTCATTTTATATGTAAAATTATATGGGAAATGTCATCGATCGTCATTTCCAAGCCAACTGGACGCCATTTTCTTTCGATCGTACGGTATATTTCAACAATACGTATAAGACGGTACGTATTTCGAGACAAATTGTCATTATGAACCACATGTTACAATTTCTAGTAAACTATATGGGAAATATCAAAAGTTGACATATGATACGTCATTCTATTCAGAGTGTCATTTTCTATTGAATAAAGTAAAAAAATGCCGAGGGTATTATTTATAAATCAAAACTTGTAGTCATTTCCGGTGAAATAGGAAGTCACTAAAAACAATTGAATACGTCAATCTGCCATAATTTATATCATATAGGTACTAACATACCAAATCTATTTTTTTTTTATCTGAAAAAATAAAAAAGTTATAGGGGTGAGCCACTTTTGAGGGGCACTCCGTATATTGTTTTTTATAATTGGGTTGTTTCTGGATCGACAACACGAAAAATTAAATATAAAGGGTGTTGCATTTTAAAAAACAGAAAATTACTTTATATTTTTTAAGCACTCTGGACAAGTTCCCATTAGGATATAATAAAGTTAGGTACCTAGAGATTACCAGATCAACTGAAGTAAACATCTAAGTATATTTGTAATATTTTTTATTAATATAACAAAATATACTTCAAAATTATCGAAATTCTTTGTATTTTATATCTAGTTTTATACTTTGAAATATATTTCAACTAAATTTTCTAGTAATTCTAATATGAAATTTAAGTCAAACTATTAAAACTCGTTGTGGTAAAAATAGAATACCCGATACGTTGAAAATCTTTGTGGTGGTGAATCCGTGTAAACATAAGTAATGTTATAAAGGTATACGTGTAGGTATACCTACATCAATAGTGAAGCTTGAAAGACTTCAATTACCAGCGTGATTGATTTTGTTTAGAACTACAATTAATCTCTGTTATTTTTTTGTATACAGATACGATAACAGGCAGGTGAAATCCATCAGACAGTTTTAAACATGTCTACTTTATGGTCTATTTTGCTTTATAATACAAAACTATTTTTATTAGGTTTGGTAACCTGGGTTAACCCAAGGAGAGAATTTTATTTGAGAAAAATAATGAGAAATTACGAGACCTAAAGATTTAAAATTGAACGTAGCTATTATAGAAGAGATATTTGTCAAATAATGTATGTTTATACTATGGTACTAAAAATTACTTCAGATAACTCACTACAAACAGCAGTAGGTACTTATAGGGAAATTATTATAACTTTGGTTGTACATCATAATATACGAGTTGTTTTAATTTCCCTATATGTACGTTGTTTTAGTGGCCTAAAAATAATGAATAATGGAAGCCCTAGTGAAACAAGATATTGACAGGCCTTATACAGAAACTCTCGCCCATATACAGGGTGATTTTCCTACGATGTTTTCTATGGATATCTCGGAAACTACCGGAGATAGAGAGTCGGTTAAATTGGGAAAGAATTGCAGTTTTGTGGGATCATAAATATACGCCTTTCAAATTTTTGAAAAAGTTCATGGCTTACTTAGATATTTCGAAAAATGCAAATTTTGGCTATTTTAAAAATTGTCCCTAATTCCATTATAATCTATTTTAGACAAAAAGTTTTCAGATAAAAATTTTCAGTTGTAGAAAATCACATCCCTAATGAGTTTGTGTTCTCCGATTTTTTCTAAAGCCTATCATTTTTGACATATTATGACACAACATGTTTTTTTTAATGGAACCCATAGGCCATGACTTCATAAGAAGCGCCGTTTTTAAGCTTTTCAGCGATATAAGCCATAATATGTTTTTTTTTAGTAATAATTACTAAGTTATAGCCAATTCTTATCATTTTTAAACAATTTCACTTAGTTAGGCATGGAAACAAGATCAATCGTCGTGAAATGTGAAAATGTCACTTCCAAACTTAGTAAATTAAAATAAATAAAAATTGTAAATATGAATCTTTCAAATGAAGAAAAGCGTGGGGGATTATTGGGGGGACACCCCCCATAATAAAAAAATGTTAAAATTATTTATATCATTATTATGCGAACTCAGGGATAGGAAGAGGTTGACCAATTGCATGGATCTCCTCGACCACCTGGTCTATCCATTTTTATTTTTTTTATGCGATATGGTTAACAACAAGGTTTACAAGATGTTTTAACAAGAGGCGGTACGAGAGAAGTTTTATTAAGTCGACCGGTCGTTCTGTAGTAATTCAGTTTTAAAAAGATGCATTTATGTACTCACAACAATGGCGAATTTTTTGAACATTATATAAAATAACTTAAAGTGTATGTATAGGGTGGACCATTTTGGTTGCTTCTATAGGGTATCTAGGAAACCGTGAGAAATATTCAAATTTTGATACTGCAGTCTCGGGTTCTTTTTTTGAAAAAATTACATTGGCGCAAACGGATCATGACTATCTTGATCGGTTTCGAAGCTACAGGGGGATTCTCAAATTTTGTACTTTTTGAAGATGTTCAATAGTTTGTTTATTTCAGCAATCACGGAAAAATGAATTATACATTCTTAAGGGACTTTTCTGTGTAGAATGCAGTGGCGTAGTCAGACTTTTTCGAAAAAAATATTTTTTGAGATATTAACTATACTTATGTTTTTTTTTAAATAGAAACCCCTGTATATTTTTAAATTTTCTTATTCAGCTTGGCATGGGCTTCTCGAAAATATATAACACTCTATATTTATTTTCACTATTAACCTCAACATTTCAATTTTTTCTTAAAATATTCACTTAGTAGTAGGCCGCGCCGAGTAACAAAGTAAACGGTTGTCATGGTGATCGGAACATGCCTTTGATGGATGCGGGACATTTCATTTCAACAAATTAAAGTATGTGTATTTTAAATAATAAAAAAAGAGTAAATTTAAAAACAGAAACAAAAGAACATATTTTAATATAAACTCAAGAGGTTACCTCAATCGGGCTTCTCAGATGCCGCCGTTAACAGCATTTCAATAGCTCTACTTGATGTTGTTGGATCTAGTGTTACGGCTCCGAGGACAATAATATATTGATTTTATTCATCTTCTTTCTGATAATTTTTCAGACGCGGATTTTGAAAAGATCTAAAATTGATTAAACTATCTTCTAATCTTTTAAAAATGGCTGGGTTTGGTTGCTCGCGCTCTGGATACCGCTCAAAATATAAATCAGCTGCCATTTGCTTATGTTTGCTAGACTCAATATAACATTCTAACACAATATTATATTTTTCAAAATTTTCAAATGTACTCATTTTTTTATTATTTTAAATACACACACTTCAATCTGTTGAAATGAAATATCACGCATCCATCAAAGGTATGTCCCGATCACCATGACAACCGTTTACTTTGTTACTCGGCGCGGCCTACTATCTATTAAGTGGATGTTTTAAGAAAAATTTGAAATGTTGAGGTTAATAGTGAAAATAAATATAGAGTGTTATATATTTCCGAGAAGCTCATGCCAAGCTGAATAAGAAAATTTAAAAATATACAGGGGTTTCTATTTTAAAAAAAAACATAAGTATAGTTAATATTAGTGTTCGACCGATAGGCTTTTTTTGGCCGATAACGATAATCGGCTACCGATATGTTTCAGGCCGATATGATATATATCGGCCTATCGGCGTATTTTTTTAATTGCCGCGAGGGCCGATTTTTATAGTGGCGAGGTTCAGCTCAAGTTCTTCCGCCTATATTATGCATATAATTTAATTCCGAACATCTGGCAACATTGCACCACGGTAGTAGTAATAACTTTGGTAATAATAATAATGAATTAATGACCTTGGTAAATCCTCTAATCGTCTTCGCGACACAGCGGCCGTTTCCGAGCATCCCGAGTTTCTTTATTATTCGGTATTTCCCAGAACACGCATTTTTCGTTCACTAGACTCTGGGCTTGTTTTGGGATTGAATTTGTCTAATCCTGTTAGGGTGTTTATTTTTAAATGCGTGTTGTGTTTAAACTAAATTAAAATGGCTTCAAAGAAAAGTATTTATTGGAAATATTTCGAGAAGAATAAATTATCTGTGACAGCTAAGACTTCGACGGTTAAGTGCCAATTATGTGTTTTATTTATTCGTTACTGTTTATCTTTTTGTCTTATTTTAAGGAAATCGTCCGGTTTGTGTTCCTATACATTCCTATACTAAAGCTTTTTTTAGACAGATTTAAGGGAAATTTTTTTTTTTCAAATTTTCTGTTTTAGTTTATTTTTCTGTTTATTATTTTAAAGAATCCGTTTCAGTCTGTATTCATATATGTTTAATAAAGTTGTTCCTAAAAAAATCAAGTTCAGTTAATTTTTTTGTGAATAATCAATAAAATAAAATATCGGCCGATATACATTTGTATATCGGCCGATACCGATAATCGGCATGATGGCCGATATGGCCGATATTTTCATATCGGTATCGGTCGATCACTAGTTAATATCTCAAAAAATATTTTTTTCGAAAAAAGTCTGACTACGCCACTGCATTCTACACAGAAAAGTGCCTTAAATATATAATTCATTTTTCCGTGGTTGCTGAAATAAAGAAACTATCGAACATCTTAAAAAAGTACAAAATTTGAGAATCCCCCTGTAGCTGCGAAACCGATCAAGATAGCCACGATCCGTTTGCGCCAATTTATTTTTTTCAAAAAAAGAACCCAAGAGCGTAGTATCAAAATTTGAATATTTCTCACGGTTTCCTAGATAGCCTATAGAAACAACCAAAATGGTCCAACCTGTACTTAGTGATATTATATTTTAAATCTTAGTTTGTGTAATGTAAATTCTAAAGATCCGTTTAATAGTATATTCTCTCTTTTTATAAGTTATAAACTCGGTTATAAATCATAAAAAAATAAGAATGCCATGCCAACAAAGTGAATTAGTCAAGAAAGATGAGTATTGGCTATAACTCAGTAATTTTTCAAAAAAAAAAACATATAGCTTATATCGCTTAAAAGCTTAAAAATTGCGCTTTTTATGAAGTCATGGCCAACTATGGTTTCCATTTAAATGGTGGTAATTTTTTATCGAATAATGTAAAAAAGTACCGAGGGTGCCATTTAAAAATCAAAAGTTGTAGCCATGTCCGGTGAAAGAGGAAGTGACCGAAAACAATTGAATACGTCAATCAATCCTAATTTGTGTCATATACTCGCATACCAAATCTCGTTTTTTTATTTGAAAAAATAAAAAAGCTATATGGGTGAACCACGTTTGAGACGCACCCGGTATTAACAACAGCTTAAAAAATGTAATTATTAAAAAAATATATTACAAATACTATATCATCAAATACTATTATATACCGCTATTGTGTAAATATTTGATTTATTAGTAAACACATACACATAACCATACATTAACTGAAACAATCTGATGTCCGTCAGGTTTTCTTTGAAGGTACGATTAGAGAAGTAACACGTGATAGATCAAACAGTACTATAATTTAGAAAGAGGTGTAAATGCGTTATGGACCAAAAAATAAATTGATGTTTAGTTATTCAATAGAACAAGTAAAACGTCTTCCGGTACTATAATTATCGCCATAAAGCATTTGTTCTAAGAATATAATAGATCGTTCCACGTATCAAA